AATAATAATTTGACAGTTCCAATTCCATCCACTTTACAGGCAAAGTTATTGCCCATTATAACCTGCCCCCTTTAGTTTTTTCTAGATTTATAAAATAATTTTTGTTGGGGCACATATGAAAGGAGCATCCCGAGTCAAATATTCATTCATCACTTAGACATTTTTCAGCACTTACTAAAACAAAATCATTTTCTGTTTTGTTTTTATCATAGGCCAATGCATTGGTTCCATCAAAATCTTTTTCTTTTGAATCATTTTTCTTTTTAAAACAACCTTTTGCAAATTGACCAAATTTGCCACAATAATAACATTTTTTACCTTTAGCATTATTCTTAGTCTTACTCCTGTCAGCCCATCTCTTGTTTACTTTTGAAACCTTAAAGTTTTGTGTAGATTTTTCAAAAGATTTTCCCTTAGTTACAAAACTAGTTCCAGTGTGACTGTTACTTGACTCGGCCTTGATTTTTAAAACTTTATTTCTCAAAGCATTGGTTATAACATCAAGAGTGAGTTCATCTCTACCATATTCAACGGCAATTTTAGTGTCCTTATACTTGTCACTTATGGAGTTTAACAGGACTACAGCCAATTGATTTTTTGAAAATTTTTCATCACAATTGGCCAAGTCTTGGGTAAGTTTTGTAAACCTACTAAGATTTTCTTCTAAATCAACTACAGGATCCATTTTAAAAGAGAAGAATTGTTTTAAAATAAAACATTTGTATGGAGTAGTTTTGGTCTCATACTTATCCTTAAGTTTGTCCCAAAGATCAAAGGCAGTAGTGGTATCACCTACCTCTCTGATCACATTATCAGACAAATACAAAAATATTGTACTCCAAATAACCTCCTCAAATTCGAATTTCTTATTTGGTGCTAAACTCTCAGGCCATGAATCATCTAAAGCCTTGGTACATTTTATTTGCATCAAAATTGCTTTCATTTTCTGACACCACATATCAAAATCAATTTTACCATCAAACTGACTGACTTCAAATTTAGCAGTAGTCATGATGCAGACAAATTATCACACACAGATCAGCTAGAGCTTGCAGCAGTTTAAACAAAGAGTCAAAAGCACCACTTCGTGTCAAGTTTAGAAGCATAGTAGAAGACATAGTAATACAGAATTTTAGAATTCTTTTAGTATTAGAAGAGAACAGAAAATATCAGTTAACCGACAACAATCACAGAGATTAAATATAAGGTTTCACAATCCCTCCAGTAAGATTCTCCAAGTACACACCCGTACTTGATTTATCTCATATTCCAGGGGCCTCACAGGAGCCACTGGACAAAGATTAGTCTCAAGGGGTTTTCAACGGTGTACCGAAAAATCAAGGGAAAGTTCAAGAAACACAAATTTCTAAAAGTTAATATACAAAAAATTGAAAAGATCTCACCGAGCGAGTTAAATAACTCGAGTTGACCTCAATCTGCTTTTCCAGCAGTTCCAAAGATTCAAGACCCTTGCAGGTCCACCAGTTTCTCTAAGATCCAAGTATCTCTTGTTCCTTAGATCGTGGCTCTGATACCACTGTAAAGGCAGGATCACACGATATTAAATTCAAGAAACAAAAAAACCTTAATCGAACAGAAGAAAGATTGCAAAAAATTAAAATGAACACAAAGGAATTATTTCGACCTAAGCCCAGAAGGTTCGACGACAACTTCTAACTCCTACATCCCCCGTTGAGCATCCAAAGATTTAGATTATGCTCGATTGCACTACACAGCCCAAAATGGCAACAAAAGTTACAGATTGTTCAGAGACATGAAAATGAGACTTATATCTCAAGTACAGTAATGGATCTACAGAGATTCACTCAAATCTCAGCCCTCAAACCCTTCGAACACCATCACAAGGCTATAACATAGAAATCACTCAGATTTCTTCACTATTCACACAGAATATTACAGATCGAAGGAAGATGTTACTATACTATACATAAAATCAAAGATTTTAAGCATGAAACACTCAAGGAAATAATCATCTCTCAGATCACCAATTTTTCTCTCTGAAAACCCTAGAGACGAAAGTGAAAGTCAGACATTCCAGAAGGCTTCGAATTTTTAACGAAGGGCAAATGAATCGGCTCCATCCAACGTCTAGGGTTAGTCCACGTGTTGGTCATCCAATAAGTTGTCACCACTTATTATGTCGTGTTTCATATAAACACGATTTTGACACAAGTCAAATTCTGAAAGCACCAATTGAAGAGAACAGGTTCGATTCCAACTGTCTTAAACAATTTTTTATTCACAATTATTTAGATGGATAAGTCAAAATCGACTTGAGCCAAATCAATTTGATCCTAGTAGTGTGTGTTGAAACTTGAGGTTTCTACCATCCATAAGATGAAATAGACCATTACCATCCCTGTATTTAGTTGAATGTGATTTTTGTACACATATCTAACAATTTCCCGAAGAACGATCGATCACATCAACATGACTTATACATGATAATCATGGTACATCTCGAGTGACAACCTCTACCGTCCAACTTGTTATAATCGAGAAGATCAAACAGTTTATTGACGTTTACATTATTTTCCATTGCCCACACCCACGTTGCCATCTCAAGAAATCACCCTAATGGAATCTCTCACCATCATGATTAATTGGGCTTATACCTATAGAGAGCATTTACACCCGTTCAAAGATTTATCTTGCAGCTTCTGAGTGACTAAGTGCCCATTTGACCTAGTTTTCATTTCTGTTTTTAGAAGGCTATTTTATTGTTATTTAACAACACAACTAATTTTTTAAAGAATTTACTATTTCAAAAATGTTTTTAGAAAAAGTCACATTAAACTAACTTCCTCTAAAAAAAATTTTACTAGAAGAAACATATTCGTAAAATTAATCAAAATGGTTTAAAAGTAGCATTTGAATCTCATAAGCTCATTTTAATTTCTCAAAAATTATAGCAAACATACCTTCAATATATGACATGATTCAAGGTCATATCAAAATGTTCATATAATAATAGAGCAACACAATCCAACAAAGGAACCCAAAATAATCTTGGATTTTCTGAATGTGTGAAAAGATTTCCTTAACCAGAAGGCACAAAATTTAAGAGAGAATATTGACAATATATTAATTATATTAGCCCTTGTTTGATGATCACTATTTGACAAAGATAAAGTTTTGAATAGTTCATTTTTTAGAATGTGTGATTAAAATTAGGGAAAAGTTTTGAGTTTATATGCAAAATATTTTATTGTGTAAATATGTATTTAAAAATGGAGTGAATTACCCAAATGGTCATTGAATTTTGCAAAAAGTTTCCACAGGGTCACTAAATTTTAAAAATCACCCAGTTCAATCACTGAACTTTACAAAAGGTTTTCACAGGGTCACTGAACTTTAAAAATCACTAAACTTTGCAAAAAGTTTCCACGAGATCACTAAATTTTGTAAAAAATTTCCCAAGGATCAAGACAAAATTGGCCATTTTATTTGACAAGATTTTAACTTATTTTTGTTTAATAATCATTTTTAGGTTCACCTTAACAAACATGCTATTATAGTCTTTCTTCATAGGTGCACCCCACATTCACACACAATTGAAATTTTGAATGAGTTTGCATAGGTGATCTTTCAGCTAATGATGTATATAAGTTGGGACCAAGTTCAGTTTCCATTTAGAGCTTGAGCTTTGATGAATAAAATTGAACAAAATACAAACAAAATTGAACATCTAAGGCTTGAACTTGACACTACAATATTACCAAATTAAATTTCTCAATGCAATTTCTTTGCTCAATTGATTTTCGTTTCATTTCACCTGCTTCTAATTTTATTTTCTTTCTAGTTGGCATTGACGGAGGTGGATTAAAATAAACCTGGTATATTATGCCACCGTTTGACCCTATGTATAGGAATTTTCATGTTTCCAATTACTCTGAAATGATTTGGGGTGATTGAAATTGATTTGGGGGTCCTATGTATAAGAATTTTCATGTCTTTGCTTGAGTTGGTACACCTTTTAGATCCGAACGAATTTGAAGCGTTGGATCGCACCTATCCAGAATCTGGGTGGTCCAAATCACACCTTTCTATGATGGTCCACAATCCTTCACCATACACCGGCTCCACATGATCAACTGCTAGACAGAAAAAGATATAGTAATCAATTACACTAAGGCCCCACATGATCTAATTTATCACTAAACTTTGCAAAAGGTTTCCACGAGGTTACTGAACTTTGCAAAAGGTTTTCACCAGATCACTAAACTTTGTAAAAAGTTTTCCAGGGATCACTACAAAGTTCAGTGATGAATTAGATGATTTTTTAAGTTCAGTGACCTCGTGGAAACCCTTTGCAAAGTTCAGTGATGAATTGGATCATGTGGGGCCTTAGTGTAATTGATTACTATATCTTTTTCTGTCTAGCAATTGATCATGTGGAGCTGATGTATGGTGAAGGATTGTGGACCATCACAGAAATGTGTGATTTGGACCACCCAGATTCTGGATAGATGCGATCCAACGCTTCAAACTCGTTCAGATCTAAAAGGTGTACCAACTCAAACAAAAACATGAAAATTCTTATACATAGGACCCCCAAATCAATTTCAATCACCCTAAATCATTTCAGAGTAATTGGAAACATGAAAATTCCTATACATAGGCTCAAACAGTGGCAAAATATACCAGGTTCATTTTAAACCACCTCCGTCAATGCCAACTAGAAAGAAAATAAAATTAGAAGTAGGAGAAATGAAACGAAAATCAATTGAGCAAAGAAATTGCATTGAGAAATTTAATTTGGTAATATTGCAGTATCAAGTTCAAGCATTAGAGGTTCAGTTTTGTTTGTATCTTGTTCAATTTTATTCATCAAAGCTCAAGCTCTAAATGGAAACTGAACTTGGTCCCAACTTATATACATCATTAGCTGAATGATCACCCATGCAAACTCATTCAAAATTTCAATTGTGTGTGAATGTGGGGTGCACCTATGAAGAAAGACTATGATAGCATGTTTGTTAAGGTGAACCTAAACATGATTATTAAACAAAAATAAGTTAAAATCTTGTCAAATGAAATGGTCAATTTTGTCCAATATCACGTATCATAAATGCCCTAAATGTTGGCTGATGGATTCTTAGTCTGTCATGATCTCTTTGACAGCTAGGGGTTCATACCATTGAGGGCCAAATCCAGCAGCTCTTCTTGCCGTCTCATTAAAAGGTGGCTTCAATGGCCCTCTGAAGTAAGACCTTACAATTGTATGGAACTTCTGAATCACTTTATCAAATATTTCCTTCACAATTTCACCTTGTTGGAATTCACTTACTTTGGAATCAAGGGATCCACAAGGAGCCTCATCTCCATTTTTTTGACCTTAAGCAAAGATACTTAAACCACTTGACTCCTGTAGCACAGTGGGTAATCTCTTCTGGATAAACAACCTTCTCCAATAATTCAGTTGTCTTGTCGTCACCTCCTTTATGGAAACGAGATATAGTCGTTGGCAGCACATCGAGTCCTCTAGCCTGGGAATTGATAATGTGACATTCGATTAAGTGAATGTGTGAATTCAAAACACTGTCAAACAAACGATTGGACTCTGTTTTACAAGGCATCTGCAAGCCTTGGTTTCTATGGGCTTTCTATAAAAGCCACTTGAATTGGTGTTATTTATTGAAAATTGAACCATTTGTCCCAACCGTTTTCCTTAGTAGCAAGTTGATCCCCAACCCTTAAAGGGAGCAAGTCGGTTGTCAACCTACATTTCCACAGTTAGTCCCCAATGATGAAAGACGTTCAAATTTTCATTAAATTGTCATATTATGCTCATGGAAATCCTCACGTCAAATTTCTTGGCACCAGCCCAAATTGGAAGACAAAATCTAGCTTTATAAAGTCGAACAACTTGGGGATATGGGATGATTTAATAGAGATTTAGACAGTTTCCATCATTAGTGACTGATTTTTCAGCTTTAATGAAAGGTTGAGGACCAACTTGCTACTTGAGGCAATAGGTTGGTGACTAATAGTGCAATTTTCACATATACTTGCAATCATCCATACATTTTCATTTTTCAACTATAAATAACTAAGCATACCTCATGAACGCAATGTTCGATAGCTAAACGTGCCACAAGTCCTTCGAAGTAGCAATAGCTGAATCCCATAGTCCATCGTGAGCAGGTAATGCTCCATAGAAAGATCCTAATTCCTTAAGTCTTGCTGCAAGCAGAGTGAAGTGCCGACCTTCATCTTGCGCCACCTTTACAAAATCTGCAAAAATTTCTCTAGGCATGGACTCCTGCTTACCAAAACGAGCAATTATATCCTGTCAAAGACAAGAAAAGATTAAGGAATGGGAGGTGGGAAATGAATGCATAAATTGCACATTGAATGGTTCGAATCTGTAAACTTTTGAAGAACAAAGAAAATAAAAGTATTTTAAGTTGAACTATAATAGAGAGGAAAACAGTGCATGAAAATGTCACAAGATAACACACATCATTGCTGATTATATACAGAGGTTGTAATCACATCCCATGGCTGTGGTTATGACCTCTTTGAGAAATTCCTATACTAAAACCAGGGAGGGATTAGAAGATTTCCCAGACTCCTCTTCATAAGTTCATGATCCTGAATTCAAGTTTATACTCTTTGGCTATGCTAGCACCCTAAGGTACAAATGTTCATTGGATATACAGACCCTTGGTCATCGAACAAATCCTGGTCTTCCTTTCAGACCTTATAAAAACTCTCAACTAGATTTTTCATGTTACAGTTTACAAATATAAAGTATTGGGTGAACTTTGATTTAGATTCGACTGAATCAGAAGACTAACTTTGATCTTAATTTTAAGCAAAGGATAGCTTGGGAAAAGGGAAGAGGAAAAAGAAAGAGATCACATGCTCTCCCCCCCCCGCGGTTGCAGCCACCCAAAACCACCATTCACGGCTACCTTTAAACCTATCATTCTCTTAACCACCACACTTTCTGCCTCAGGCAAGCCTTCTTGCCCTGAACACATTCTTCAATAAATTAACAGTGAAAAGAGAGGCCTCAGGCAGCTGTCCCCAACCCCAAGTCCGAGCAATATTTTTCTCACTTCAGATCTATATGATGTCTAGTTGGGTTGAAGTAGCGACTGGTAGATTTAGTTGTGATGGCTGGTTCTGGTAGCAATGGTATTGATTGTTGTGATCTTTAAATTGCATTTTATTGTTCAGTGACTTTTCTTTAATCTAAACAAGGAAGAAATCTTAAAATTTTAGAGCCTGTTTGGCAATCATTATTGTAAAAAAAAACAGTTTTGAATAATAATTTTTAGGAGAGTGTGTGGTTTAAAAGTAGGGAAAATTTTTTGGTGTAGAATATTTTATTGTGTGAATGTGTGGTTGAAAATGATCTTGTAGTAAACCATAAAATAAAATAATGTGTGTCAAACAAGCACTTAATTCTTTTTTTCTTTGCATGAAAAAATTAAAATGGAAATTCCTGTCTTCAAATTTTGGCGACTATGTTGAAGGGTTTTCCATTTCCTGATCATTTTCTGTTTGGTTTACGCCTGCAGTTTCCATACTCAAAAACTATTATTTCAATTGTTTTGGCCCTACAAGAGTTCTTATTTATTTACTTTTCTATTTTAAGTGGTGAACATGGTGGATTAGGGTTGGCAATGGTATAGTAATGATGATATGAGATGTGAACAAGAGAGGGTTGATTTCTTTGTACTTATTCCTTCTTATTTTTGGCACGTTTCTTGTAATATTTCTTCTCTCTTAGGGAAAAGTTCCCTTTTTTCCTTATATTCCCATGTAATTAGATATCTAAAAATGTCCATCTGGATCTACTAGCTAATTAGGATGCAAAAATTGGTACAGTGTTGAAGGTTTTGCAGGGAAATTAAGAGACATGAAGTAAGAGGGCACCTTATGGAAAGTTCAAGAGGCAAATAATTTTTTACTCGTTTAACTCCAGAAAACTAATACTAATACATTGTACACGTATGCAATATAATTGTTCTTCCCTACTAGATCCATCCATCTGTTCTGTTCACTTCGACATAAACGCCTTATTTGCTTAACACTACTCATTGTTTTCTTACAAAACGCTTAAAGGAACGAGTAACCACATAACACTTTCATTCAATTTAGTAACTAAATGAGGAAGCAATTTGGGCTGTGCGTTCGCTTGTGTAAGCTGTGGTGGTGGGGTGAGGGACCAAAAAAAATAGAGAAAGGAAAGAGTACCCAAGACAAATCAATAGCCCAGCTCTCAGTATGCGCAAGACTGTGCACAATAGCCTGTCTACTCTGCAAACTCCGAGCTTTCCCAAGCTTCAGCATCTCACTCGGCGACACCACCTTCACCTGCGTACATTACCATAAACAAATTTCCAACACAAGCAAAATACCAGTGAGACATTTTATCAAACACTTAGATTACAATAGAATGAAGTTGTTCAATACTTACATTGATAGCCGGGAAGGCCGATCAGGCACAGCAATATCTACTGAATCGTCGTATGGGCGAATTATGTGGCCCTGTAGCCATTTGTTTGCAATATCATCACCAAGCCTGGCTTTCTCAAATGGGTCGCCAGTGTGTAGTACTCTAAGTGCCGCTTCCACTAAAGTTTCTCCATTGCTGCAGCTCATTTCTCTCTCTTCGCTTCCTTCTCTGAATTTCAAATACGACGAGATGGAAAAAGTTCAAAATTTTCAGGCGATTCTAGTTAAAGTTTCAGTAAGTGAACAGTAAATGAATTTTCAGGCAATACCTCCAATTGCTGTTCTCGTAGAAACGTGGAATATCTGCCAACGGGTTTTGCTATGTGTACGCCAAGATGTCAAAATGAACCGCTGAGCTGGCTCGGTCCACAGGAGAGAGCGAGTAAGGTAGGAGTCAACTTTTTTGGAGATTTTTGAAAGCCGAGCCGGCTTGCCAATCGCCTGTTACATGAACAAATATTTTCTATGTTAAGTTGAAATTTTGTCGAGGATATCAGGATAAGCTTAAAAATATAATTTTGTTATTGTGTTTAGTTAAAGAAATTTAAGGTTGTAAAGAGTTTAAATTCTACTACTAAATAATTTTTGTATAATTTTTATTCCGACATTGTAAATAGATAAAATTTATTCGTAAAAAATAAAGGAAATAAAATATATAGTTACTTTACTTCCTTCTTAATATAAAATTGCATTATGAAAGTTTTGGCGGAATGTCACATTGTTCAATTTGTATTCATACACAAATATGTATTTCAATTTGGGTTGCAATATGGTAACAATATTGAGAATCTCGACACAAAATATGACTTCCTATCATAGATCTTACATCATCGAGTTGATAATGTTATGGCATGTGCAAATTTGAACGTTACAATTGTCACTATTGACTCATTGACAGCATAAATAAAGTTGTATCATTTCATCCGTTCATGCACTTCTTCCATGGCAACATCACGAGCGTTATATTGACAACATCTTGACAATGATTAGAAGCTAGTGTTCTTATACCAAATGATGTAAGAGGAAGCATAGAATGATTAATAACACTTGAAAATGCTCGTTGATTTGTTAAAATTTCAAAAAAATTGATAAAATCGAGAAAATCTCTTTCTCTACATAATATTTTTTTTATTCAAAAACCAATGCTTTAGCTTCAAAATTTGCTCTTAAATTGAAGGAATTACAAAATTGTCACGTCATTTATTTTTCTAACATTGATGTCCTTTTTGAGAAGATGCTACCATTGTACTGGAAAATTGTGCCATCGGCCTTAGAAAATAGTAATAAATCAATTGTTTCCGCGCTGCATTTTTTAAGTCATTTCTTTTAATTCAAGTAAAAATAATGAATTTTTTGATTAAAAAGCGAGCTGCTCGACTTGGGATGGTATGAGCTGAGCTCATGGATCGAGCTTGAGCCGTATATCTGGTCAATGAGCCAGCCTAAGCTCGGCTTGATCTCCTATGAGCCAATCTCGGAACACCTGTTGGATCCGTCCATTTCCATATATTCAAAAATGGATCAAGCTAGCTCAGCTCTTACAGACCCGTTATAGGGGTCTCACATGGGGGTGAGGTCGGAATCTTTTTTTCATTTTTTATGGGAAAAAATCATAATTGCATATGAAATATAAAATATTTGGAGGAATACTACAAAAATATTAAAATATATAATATACTGTATACTCCACAAAATATTACCAAATCTACTGACTGGCAAACTTTCCTCAATTAATACATTAATAACTGAAATTCTTGAATATGCATATATCACGCAAAGCATTAACTCATATGCTGCCTATACGGGTTTCAAAAATTGAATTGGGTCTCCACCTCATATAATTCTGAATGGATGATTATCTATTACTCTTGCAATTCATGATACACCGATCGCAAATGGCTTGAATTTCTTGTGTTTGTAGCTGTTTGTTGTCTTAATTTCCACTGGCATAAGGATTTTTTTCAATCAATTAGGTAACATTTATTCTCGTTTGAGTTATTAACTTTTTATCATTTGTGCATATGAGATTCAAGATTATGGATAGACGGTTCACCGTTTAATTGTTGCTCGACATTCATATTAAGATGTAATCTGGAAATGAGTTCACCCGAATGCTTGCTGATTCTGGAATGTGTTCACCCCCACATTTGATGTCATAGGAAATACCTTGATCTGGTTGACATGATATCCATAGATTTAGATATCGATAGTAGTAGTGATATTTTGAAAATAGATTTTGATATTGGTGGCAGTACGGAACTGATGGGGATTACGAATGACAACTCGTTACTCTTCTACACGGAGCTAAAAAAGAAGGAACCAAGGTTAACGGCATATGCAATACATGTTGTTGCCCACATGCCGAGGACGGCTTCTTGTGAATCCAAAAGATATAGCTATGATATACTCAACAGCATGTAATGGATTTGAGGTTGCAGCACCCAATCAGGTTTTGATGCTGAAATCTGCTAAGGTTCCAACAATGCAAGATTCTACAGGCAACATAGAAGTGAGGATGAAAATGAAGAAAGCTCCGATGTTTTGTAACAAACAAGAGTAGAATTCGTCACTGAAAAGTAGATTTTCGTGATAAAAAGTTGTTGAAGGACAGCCTTGGGTTGTATTCTATACAAAACAACTTCGAGTGCATTTTTTACAAGTTCGATGACTTCAAGTAAGTGCTAAAGTGTAATAGAAATGAACCAAGATTAATTGCATATGCACTACATGTTGTTGTTGATATGTTTTGAATGACGAATGTCAATAGAAATGTTTGCTAGAATAATATTTATTTTCCAAATTTGCAAAGTTCATGTACTGGTTATTAAGAATACATACCCTTCATACCTATATTGAGTGGAACAGCATGTTGGATCCGCATTTCACAGTAAAGAGAGGTTGGGACCCTTTGTAGCTATATTTCATAGACCAACATGTTGAATTACCATTTCACAAGAAAGAGAGGTTGGGTCTAGAATCAAATTGATAGGACATAAAAACATATATAAATGCAATTAACCACCATCACTTATGATAAAGAGAAGAACTGGAAGATACGTAGAAAAGAAAAGCCAATGAATAAAAGAAAAAAAATGAAAGAAAACTTTAGGGACATGTCATGTTTGTGTCTATCATAGAAAATGTTCTCAGTCAACTTTCAAATTTTGACAGCTCCATAAAGCGCTGCATTTCTTTAGATCAGATGCATCCCGAAAACACCACACCCATCATCATTTTTATCGCATCCGTTTTCTGACCCTTGTGTATTTGTAAATGACGTTCAAAAATCTTGCACATTGTATAAAATGCCTTCATGTCTTCATTACAATAGGATAATTTAAATTGAATGTCTTTGAAAGATGAAATCTGCGTCGAAGTTCAACATAAAAGTAGGTTACTAAAAAGGGCACACAACAAGTAAAACTAACTTCATTTAAATTTATAAAACAGCATCATAGTTTCACATACAAAATACATAACCAATGTGATATACATTTTGGAAGAACTATACCTCTGAAGTTAGATATTGAAGTTGGAGAGTTTGAGTCTATATAAACCACCCATCAAGCACTCAGACTCTCGATGTGCGATTCAAATCTCATACCTTGCAATGGGAATCATAACAATTTACCACACTTCGTGACTAACTTTAAACTAGCCCAAGACTAGTCCCAAACGAACACTGCTATGCCAAAGTCACCATCTGCATCGCTTGATTGCAACTAAAAGACGTGGTGTTTATTCTGATACCATTGATATAGATATTGAAAGAGTCATTCCTCAAAGCTAGCTATTAAAGTTGGAGAGTCCAAGTTTATATAAACAACACATCAAAGGTAGGATTCAAGCCCCATACCTTACAACAGGAACCATAACACAATGTCAATACATTTTCATTTATACATTCAAGATTAATTTAAGATTGATTGACAAAATAACAAATGAACAATTACTGGTGAAAACATCTCTATGTTTTCTAATATTGACTCTTTTTTTACCATGAAGATGACCTTGTTGTGACAAAACTAATAGCACCATCCAAAAAACATAGATAACTAATAAAATTCGACATTTTTCGATGCCCTCAGCTTCCTTTCCCTCCTCACGCTACGTGGGACAAGGCCGAAATCCATTTCGTATCCTTTGATCATCTTCTCACATCCATGCTTGTAAAGTTGAGAGACGAATTAAGACGTCAAACTATTATGATTGAATTTTTCAGACATCGCATTTATCTCCAATTGCATAATGAATTTTGCGTACTTTATGACAGAGACCGCAATCATGCCTGCAAAAAATGTGGTTATGTGTAATCTCCTGTATATGGCAGTAATTTAAATTGTTCCTTCCATGCTTACTTTTGCATAAATTTTGAAGCCATGAATATTGTCAAAAAACGCACACGTATTTTTCCAGTATTTTTGGACACGAACATAAATTTGATAATATAGAATCATTAACAGTAATCATCTTCTGGGATGAATTAATACACGGATTAAGACACTATTTTTGGGATGCGTGAAATGATCTAAATTGTTGTAATATGCAATGTAGATGAACATAACATATTCGTGCATGTAATCTGTAAGTACATTATCTAATGGCAAATAGATACATTCAGGAAAAATTGTAATATGTCATATACAACATCAAAAAAAATTATGAAAAATAATAATAATAATTCATCAAATTACGTTATTCGTGGATTTCGTACATATTTGTAATCATGGAGTTTGAAAGGGAAAAAAAATATTAAGTTGATCTCAATTAAACGACGAATGTGAATATTCTTGGTTAGTCTTCAACGACTGTCTGCAAAATTTGGAACCCATTGTTGTACGGTGACTAGCGGATGCCATTATTGATTAGAAATGCTCAAGAAAAGTCTGTGTTATTCCAAATCTGCTCACTAAACTTTCCTCGGGTCTTGATTTTCTAAGCCTTCAAAGGATTTTTATATTCATTGTCTTCAACGTTCATTTACAACTATCTTTGATTCCATATTCAGAATATGGATTGAACAATATGAGATTTGAAAGTTAGTGATGTGTGGGATGATTTGTAATTTTTTTAGATTGCCGGGTTTGCGATTTTAATTTTGGTCGAAAATGGTTCTCTCTGAAATTGGGAATTTTCTGTTGGTAAAACATTAATTTGGAAATATTGAACACTGATTGTGTTAAATTGATCGGGCTTGTTTGATGGAGTGATATAAGCAATCGAAGATTGTTTTCTCTAAAATTGGGGATTTTTTGTTGGAAAAACATTAATTTAGAAATATTAAGCATTGATTATGTTAAATTTACTGGGCTTGTTTGATGGAGTGATATAAGCTGTCAAAATAATCAATTTAGGATATAAGTTGTTTATGTTGTTTCCTTTTTTACTTTATAAAATGCAGTAATAATAGGATAAAAAAAGTGGGAAAGTATTATATGAATTATTATTTAACAACAGGCAGTACGTGTAATTTCCTCATTTTTTATTGTATTGGGGCCCGCATAGGACCAACCATGTAAGGGGTATCCCAGTGAATATTTGCCCTGTACAGAAGGCTTTATTAAGAGCTGGGCTCGTGACAAAGTATAAACCCAGGTTTCAGTGCCTGGTACTTGTAAACTAGTAAAGATGATGCCGAACTCGTTCCAGGCTCACCGGCCCACCGAGTCAATTTACCGCCAACTCGTCGAGTTTGCTAAAACCGTCCTCGTCAGAGTCTTCGTTCCCCCTTACGCTACTGTACGTACATTTTTTCTTTCATTTTTTTTCCTTTTAATTTTATGATCTTTTGAACATGAATTTATGAACGCGCGTATGTGCTTAATTATGTTATAAATTTGATGTTTAGGTGTGTGATTTGTACTGCGGGAAAGTACCCGACGAAGAAAAATGGGATGAAGCTCAAATTGGTCACTATATTGGCATTGGTAATTTGTTTAATTCTTTCCTTACTTTTGTGATGATGGATCCACTGCAAGGTACGGGACAGTGTGTGGCTTATATCTCCTAATATGTATAGCGTAAGTCTTGGTCTCAAAATATAAGGAGTAGTCCAAGCCTATTACAACACTATAAAAATAAACTTCGTTATTCTCTACAAATTTTATAATCTTACAATTTATACTGAAATGATGTATTCTGTGTAGATGTGGCAACAACTGGATTGAATGAAGTGAAAGAAGCATGGGAGAGTCAGCGCAAGGCTTACACTTCTGAGTTCTTTGAGCTTGATCCGTGCATTGTCAGCTCGAAGTTCAACATAAAAGTAGGTTACTAAAAAGGGCACACAACAAGTAAAACTAACTTCATTTAAATTTATAAAACAGCATCATAGTTTCACATACAAAATACATAACCAATGTGATATACATTTTGGAAGAACTATACCTCTGAAGTTAGATATTGAAGTTGGAGAGTTTGAGTCTATATAAACCACCCATCAAGCACTCAGACTCTCGATGTGGGATTCAAATCTCATACCTTGCAATGGGAATCATAACAATTTACCACACTTCGTGACTAACTTTAAACTAGCCCAAGACTAGTCCCAAACGAACACTGCTATGCCAAAGTCACCATCTGCATCGCTTGATTGCAACTAAAAGACGTGGTGTTTATTCTGATACCATTGATATAGATATTGAAAGAGTCATTCCTCAAAGCTAGCTATTAAAGTTGGAGAGTCCAAGTTTATATAAACAACACATCAAAGGTAGGATTCAAGCCCCATACCTTACAACAGGAACCATAACACAATGTCAATACATTTTCATTTATACATTCAAGATTAATTTAAGATTGATTGACAAAATAACAAATGAACAATTACTGGTGAAAACATCTCTATGTTTTCTAATATTGACTCTTTTTTTACCATGAAGATGACCTTGTTGTGACAAAACTAATAGCACCATCCAAAAAACATAGATAACTAATAAAATTCGACATTTTTCGATGCCCTCAGCTTCCTTTCCCTCCTCACGCTACGTGGGACAAGGCCGAAATCCATTTCGTATCCTTTGATCATCTTCTCACATCCATGCTTGTAAAGTTGAGAGACGAATTAAGACGTCAAACTATTATGATTGAATTTTTCAGACATCGCATTTATCTCCAATTGCATAATGAATTTTGCGTACTTTATGACAGAGACCGCAATCATGCCTGCAAAAAATGTGGTTATGTGTAATCTCCTGTATATGGCAGTAATTTAAATTGTTCCTTCCATGCTTACTTTTGCATAAATTTTGAAGCCATGAATATTGTCAAAAAACGCACACGTATTTTTCCAGTATTTTTGGACACGAACATAAATTTGATAATATAGAATCATTAACAGTAATCATCTTCTGGGATGAATTAATACACGGATTAAGACACTATTTTTGGGATGCGTGAAATGATCTAAATTGTTGTAATATGCAATGTAGATGAACATAACATATTCGTGCATGTAATCTGTAAGTACATTATCTAATGGCAAATAGATACATTCAGGAAAAATTGTAATATGTCATATACAACATCAAAAAAAATTATGAAAAATAATAATAATAATTCATCAAATTACGTTATTCGTGGATTTCGTACATATTTGTAATCATGGAGTTTGAAAGGGAAAAAAAATATTAAGTTGATCTCAATTAAACGACGAATGTGAATATTCTTGGTTAGTCTTCAACGACTGTCTGCAAAATTTGGAACCCATTGTTGTACGGTGACTAGCGGATGCCATTATTGATTAGAAATGCTCAAGAAAAGTCTGTGTTATTCCAAATCTGCTCACTAAACTTTCCTCGGGTCTTGATTTTCTAAGCCTTCAAAGGATTTTTATATTCATTGTCTTCAACGTTCATTTACAACTATCTTTGATTCCATATTCAGAATATGGATTGAACAATATGAGATTTGAAAGTTAGTGATGTGTGGGATGATTTGTAATTTTTTTAGATTGCCGGGTTTGCGATTTTAATTTTGGTCGAAAATGGTTCTCTCTGAAATTGGGAATTTTCTGTTGGTAAAACATTAATTTGGAAATATTGAACACTGATTGTGTTAAATTGATCGGGCTTGTTTGATGGAGTGATATAAGCAATCGAAGATTGTTTTCTCTAAAATTGGGGATTTTTTTGTTGGAAAAACATTAATTTAGAAATATTAAGCATTGATTGTGTTAAATTGATCGGGCTTGTTTGATGGAGTGATATAAGCAATCGAAGATTGTTTTCTCTAAAATTGGGGATTTTTTGTTGGAAAAACATTAATTTAGAAATATTAAGCATTGATTATGTTAAATTTACTGGGCTTGTTTGATGGAGTGATATAAGCTGTCAAAATAATCAATTTAGGATATAAGTTGTTTATGTTGTTTCCTTTTTTACTTTATAAAATGCAGTAATAATCGGATAAAAAAAGTGGGAAAGTATTATATGAATTATTATTTAACAACAGGCAGTACGTGTAATTTCCTCATTTTTTATTGTATTGGGGCCCGCATAGGACCAACCATGTGAGGGGTATCCCAGTGAATATTTGCCCTGTACAGAAGGCTTTATTAAGAGCTGGGCTCGTGACAAAGTATAAACCCAGGTTTCAGTGCCTGGTACTTGTAAACTAGTAAAGATGATGCCGAACTCGTTCCAGGCTCACCGGCCCACCGAGTCAATTTACCGCCAACTCGTCGAGTTTGCTAAAACCGTCCTCGTCAGAGTCTTCGTTCCCCCTTACGCTACTGTACGTACATTTTTTCTTTCATTTTTTTTCCTTTTAATTTTATGATCTTTTGAACATGAATTTATGAACGCGCGTATGTGCTTAATTATGTTATAAATTTGATGTATAGGTGTGTGATTTGTACTGCGGGAAAGTACCCGACGAAGAAAAATGGGATGAAGCTCAAATTGGTCACTATATTGGCATTGGTAATTTGTTTAATTCTTTCCTTACTTTTGTGATGATGGATCCACTGCAAGGTACGGGACAGTGTGTGGCTTATATCTCCTAATATGTATAGCATAAGACTTGGTCTCAAAATATAAGGAGTAGTCCAAGCCTATTACAACACTATAAAAATAAACTTCGTTATTCTCTACAAATTTTATAATCTTACAATTTATACTGAAATGATGTATTCTGTGTAGATGTGGCAACAACTGGATTGAATGAAGTGAAAGAAGCATGGGAGAGTCAGCGCAAGGCTTACACTTCTGAGTTCTTTGAGCTTGATCCGTGCATTGTCAGCCCCCTAATCCATCTCTGTACTGATATTTATTTATATTTTCATGTATTTCTTCATGATGTTGATATGCAGTGTCATATTAATTTAAATATGATTTGGTTGAAATTCCATGAAATGTCTTTTGCAATAATATGTATTTTTGTGTGAGTATTATATACGTGTATGATTTGGATGGATTATGTAGAGTTAAATCTATATTTTTGGTGCAACTTGGGCGATGGAGGGGAAAGCGGAGTGGGAAGGATTAACTTTCTTTCCCCATGTCGACATACTCCCTTTACTTTTTCATTTTTATTTTCTTTTCTCATGATACGAAGGAAGAGTAGGTGAGTTGCTTTCTGTTGACAGTTCTACTAAGAAGGGGATGCAATCTCTTGTTGTCCTCTTAGCATTATGGATGAAGATTTCCTAAGCTCACTAAATGAGTGTGGAGGTTCTACAGATATTTTGTGAATTTAAATGTTCCTGAAATTTTGTTACTTTTAAGTTAGGCATTTTTGGTGGCGCCTGAATAACCACTAAGGTTGTGTTGATGTTTTGCTTTAGAAAAAAAAAGGTTAGTCATTTACTGGGTTGAACATCACATTTCTTCTGCAGGAGGATATGGAGCCGCATTTGAAGGACGGGGAAGATAGGGCTGATATTGCTTTCTGTATGCACCATTTGCCGGTAGGAAATATGTCCTATAGTGTTTTGCCACGTAAATGCTATTTTATGTCTTCTAGTATGACTGTAGATGCATAATAAGTCCACTTGTAGCTGTGCTTTGAATCCGAGGAGAAAGTGAGGAGACTGTTGTTCAATGTCTCATTGCTGCTGAAACCAGGAGGTTATTTTATTGGCATCACTCCCGACTCATCTACAATATGGTATGATAATCGCCAGTAATTTATGTTTGTTTACATGTGTAAAACTATTCTTCTGGTATATATCATGCCTGACATTAGTCTTCCCTTTATTTAAAGATCTTGCAGGATTGTATTACATCGTTGTTGAATGTCAACCTAATAAAAACATATATGGAATCTTAAAGATGTTTCTATTTTTTTTTAAATTGTTGACAAATGATCGAAAATACATGAAGTGGGAAGAGCTTTGTTGTCTAGGGCCTGAAAGATGCCCTGGAGTTCAAGCTGATTCAACCTAATTTTGTGTGGGCGATCATTATAATTAGGAGCTTGCAGTTGAACTTGTGACAACCACTGAGATGTTTTTTTCCTTTGAAGTGAGTTGTTAATAGGCATGCTATGAACTCTTTACAGGTTTTGCATACAATTAATCTATACTTTGCGATTCTGAAACTAAGGGAATGAAGGGAATTGTAAAGGTCCAATTGGTAGTGTTTCCCATAAATATTTTAGTCTCTTAGTTCCTGAACACTTCTAGCTGAACGTATGAAGTAAACAAAAAATGGAGGTTCCCTGCTACAAGATTCTGCGATTCATGGATCCTATCTGGTGATCAGCCTTTAGGTCCTCCAGTCAAACTAGATGTTCCCTTCATCAACATCCATGACTCCTTCATACACAACCCCCCCCCCCCCCCCCCCCCCCCCCCCCTATAAATTCAACAAAAAACAGAAAAAAAAAATGAAAAGAAAAAGAAGAAACATTTCTGAAGTTCCTTTGTTTCCAACCGTGGACTACTTGTCTAGAACGTGAGATGACTTACAGCTTGTTGTGCTTATGCAATAGTACTTAGTAGTTATCTGGCAACGTGGGTTCTTTCCTTCCTTTTCTTACGTTAAAGAAAAGAAAGGATTTCTCTTTATATTTCACATTCGAGATCCTTTATCATGTGATAATAATTTCCTAGTTTATGCAGATTAATAATGTACTTGTAATCTATCACAGATTTGCTCATGTTTGGTTGACAAAAATAAATTTAAGGGTCTCTGAGTCTTTTATGCCTATTTAAATTTGCATATAATGGCATAACATTGTAGGAATAAGTACCAGAAAAATGTTGAAGCATACCACAACAAAAGTAGTGGGATGAAGCCCAACATTGTTCCCAACTGCATCAGATCTGAGAGCTACATGATCACTTTTGAAGTTGAGGAAGAGAAGTATAATACCAATTTAATATACTCAGGCTCAAATTCTTTGCACTACTTTCTTGTGACATTTGGTTGTTTGTCACTAATTATGTTAAATTGACTTCCAGGTTCCCCTTTTTTGGTAAAAAGTACCAGTTGAAATTTGCGGGTGATATTTCTGCTGAAACCCATTGCTTAGTCCATTTCCCCAGCTTACTCAGGTTAATATTTTCTATTATGATTATAAGCACGTGTCTTTTTGATGATTCCATCCTAATATCCTATTGGGGTTGTTTGGAATGTGTTTACACCATTAGGGCCTGTGTTTCGCCAGTATGTTTGGCAGCCCAAAGCTTGTTAGTGTTTTGCCCTATCAAGTGCCATATATTAGCACGGGGAATAGCTTCCCTTCAAGCATGATGCTATTACTGCATTTTGTGTCCCTCTTGGGTCTGTCGTGCAAGATGTTTCCATCAAATTCAGGTTAATTGACCTTTGGAAGCTTAATAAGACAATGACTAATCAACACTTGGGAATAACCAGTAAATGAGTCCTTGAGTCTATGATTTAATTAATATCTTTGTGCATGAGAATGTTAGGAACATTTATATATCAATATATTTGTGAAAATGTAAAATCTTTTTTTTTTTTGTTTTTTGTTTTATTACAAGAATATAATCGATGTTTCATCACAATTATCCTTTTATCTTACACTGTAAACTGCCACTCCAACTTTTGTGGACACACTCCTTTTCCTTGGAAATAGGATATGCATGATGCAAGTCGCTTCAAAATGCTGATATTTTGATTGATAAGCATTTGATTTGAGATGCTTACTACCTGTTATTCCTTTGACATTTTAAATTTCAGTTATCAGAATTGGTAATTATTTTCCATAGGTTGGCTAGAGAGGCTGGTCTTGAGTACATGGAGATAACAAACTTGACTGAATTTTTTGACGATAATAGGTAATAGCTTTCTTTCAACTTTGTTATCTATATTCTCTTACTGTTTTTATGATTGCCCATAACTTTTGCAGGTTATTGAAATATAAACAAACACCTTGTTTATTATAATTTTGTTGTGTACTTCAAAATTTTTATATCATGGATTGCATCGAACTATTATGTGCTAGGCCTTAAACACAAGGTAAAGTTCAAACTAATTCACTACGATCAGTTTCAACATACGTTATAAAGAGTATATTGTATAGCCAAGAAGAGAGTAAACAGAAAGTCCCCATGAGTGACCTACCATTACATTAGCATCGTTCATTGAATGCTAATTATTTCTGCCAAATAATTGCATTCTGTGTTGTTTTATCTACAAATAATTGTACTGATGTTTATTTGCAATTATGCTGCAGCTTTACTGATGAATTATCCCATGTTTGAGTCGCATTCTCTAAAAAGTCATTTTTTTAGAACTCATTTCAACTACTCATTCTCCCAATAAAAGAATTCACACGCAAACCTAAAACTTTTGTTACTTTTTAACCGCACATTCTCTAAAAAATTACTATCATAAAATCTATTTTTCCAAATAATGGGGCTCAAAAAACCCTTAGTATTGTGTCAGATATTACTTTTTTCTCTAGAGCCCTAGTGGCTCAAGAAACACTCCATTGATATTGTTTGAGTTTCTATCAAATTTTTTATTTTGTTGAAGGTAATCAAGAGTTGCTATTGTTCTCCCAGTGTTTTGACACGTAATGGAACGTGGATGTTTTCACAGTAATCTATTAATTGTTAGGAACATATGGGTGCATCATGGTTTTAAACTATACAAATTTGTTATTTTATACTGTAAATTGTGCTTAGTAAAATTTTTTGGTATACACACCAAGTTTTCTGCTAATTAATGTCAAAGGAAGCCATAACGGATAGTAGTTACCTGTTTCCACTTTCTATACTGTCCATAAATTGGAATCTTTTTTACATTAAAAAAAAAAATTTAAGAAAAAATCTGCCGAACTTTACTTTTTCTTCAGATGTGTGCTTGATTTCATAATTTACTTCAAATACTGTTTTCAGAATAGATATGTATTCCCAAAGCTTGGTCTGCCAGTTTTTTCAGTACATAATCTCCCCTTCTAGATTGTCATTCTCACCCAAAGATGGCTATGACTAGTTGGGAGAGGGAATTCCAGATTTCTGAATCTAAACTCTAGTATGGACAGGGTTGTCTCTTTTTCTTGAAGCTTGTTTGTGTAGCAAAATGATACCGTCCATAAATTTTTTTTGGAAGAAGGTTAAATATAGCTGCAAATTTCATGGATTCTTTCCTTATATTATTGAATTTGAATTTCTGGGTAGCTTCTAAGCACTGAAAGTATAATACAATTATTGAAAGTGTAGTTACTTAAAGCAGATGATCATCATTTATGATTAGCTGCTGATATATTATTTCAGAGGGAAAATCTGACTTTTGTTAACATCCCTTGGCTCTTAAGAGCACAATTTGCAAGTATGTTGATGGATGCTGGTCCCAACCTTGTTGATCCTAGAGGGAGACTTCTTCCCAGATCATATGATGTTTTAGGTGATTCATTTACTACCCGTCTCATTACATTAGAATTAAACTCTTGCCAACTTTTTAAAGTTACACGTGCTTCTTTCTGAATTCTTCTGCAGGTCTATACACCACATTCATTTTTCAAAAGCCAGATCCAGATATTGCCCCTCCTCTCTCCACACCAGTGTTGGAAGATGGGAGCTACAATCATGATGAGGCAAGTGCTCGTAAAAATACAAAGGGTATCATGAGAAAGGGCCGTTGTTTTAGGCACAATAGATTTCGTAACTGACAGGTGTAGTTTATTCAATGTGCTTCATAACCAAAATATTATCATCTTAAAGTAGCTGCAGTCTTACTTCTGTAGCAGCAAAGTTTTAACTCATAAAAACAATGAATCCGACTAATAATGTCTTAGTGTCATGCTGTGGTGGACATTTGGCTACTTCATTGTCTTTTGAAGCACCATGAAAGTTAAACCATGGTGCACCCATTGGAGCCAAAAATATATACCCTACTTATTATGGGTCTTAAAGTTATGCTTTTAAAGTAGATGCCACACTATACAGAACTTTAGAAGGAAAATAAAGTGAGATCATTACAAAATCTCTTTTAACTAACGGTGATGTTTACCACGACAATGTGACGGATGGTCCTTGCCTAGCGATGTATTGAGACTTAAGTAGTGGAATTAGGAAAACTAGTAGTTGCAGAGACATCGAAAAAAACCCAAATTGCTTTCGCATCATGGTTGAAGGTAAAAGCTGTTAGACATAAAAACAATGGCTCTCAAGTTAATCTCTAGTTTATTTCCCACCACAAATGTTGCATTTGGTCTATAAGAATTGTTATAACAGTAAGGAATGGAATTACCATATCCATTCCCCTGTTTTTAACAACCTTGTGATACGGATATGACAGGAAATCAAATTTCATCCTTATTCTAATCCTGTCTTCATTGGGCAGGGAGAAATCTGGTGAGTAAATAAAAATGACAAGATGAATATAAGATTCTAACATATTAGAAAGGATCTTGTATGGTTGATTCTTCAATGCAAAGATTATTAAAACAACATTAGCTAATTTTTGTTAGAATTTGTTTCTTTAAATGATCTATATAAATTCCTAGTCTGAGATTAGATGAGCTTCTAGAATATGAAAGGAAGGTAAAAGTGAGAAGTGAAGCAGGTTTAAGAGGTTCTGTAGGTGACATTGCTTTTTGGGGTTGGGAAGCTGAAAGTTTCAAGCAGTTTCTGTGACGTGTTTGTTATTGGTGATGATTTCCATGGTGTATCGCACGGTTTTGAAGTTGTTTTCTGTAACATATGAGGGTTCTGTAGAAATATCATCAAGTCTGTAATTATTAAGGAGCTGCTTTAATAGAAATGTGTTAGAGCTATGGACAATAAACTAGAGGATGTGGAAAGAATTGAACATCATAATTCCAATATTTTGTAGTTGGTATCAGTTATTTGCTGATGATTTAGTTTTAATTGCAAAGACTAGGAAGATATAAATTGTAAGTTCTTTAACTATACATGACTATTTTGGTATATGAGGGTTTCATGTTAGGAGTTAGAACAGAATATGTGTAATGTCCTTTTAGTTGAAGTGTGAATAGGGGCTGTTCTCAGTTTAAAATAGATCATTTTATCCAAGAGGAAGATTGTAAAAAGTACTAAATGTAACTATTAATGAGGAAATAAGGATTGGGTGTGAAGTAGTGCATAAGATTATAATGGTTTGGATGAAATTGAGAAGTACAAGAGATACTATATGGTAAGAAAACCTACCAAGCCAAAAGTAGAATTTTGTAGAGCGACTATTAAATTGACTATGCCTTATGGTACTATATGTTGGGCCATTAAAGAGCTAAAAGGTCAATGAGATAAATGTAAATGATACAAGGTTATCAAGATGGATATGTGGCTATGTTAGAATTGATAAACTAAAAAATGATTATCAGCCTGTTTGGGAGTGATTTTTTGATCGTTATTTCACTATTCTAGCCGTCATATTTGACTTCTTCTCTCACAGGTGGACTCCACATTTTTTCTAACGGTCAAAAAATCAATTCTTAAAATCACTCCCAAACAGACTCTATATATGTCACCAAGTAGAGGTCATACCAATTGAAGATAAATTAAGAGAAAAAGAGAGATGATTCAAATAGTTAGGATATCTATTAAATAAATATGAAGGATATTCCGTTCACAAGAGCATGTGTCAAGTGGAATGAGTTAGAAATTGAAAGAATTTGTAATTGCATGCAATGATACAGTTAAAAGATTTAACTTCCTTGGACCCTGCAAAAGAGAGCGATCAAGTTGAATGGAATGGCAAAAGTGTTCATGTATCCAACCCAAGTTGATTGGTATTTTTGTTACTAGAAAATGGAAACCAAACAAAGAAAATTTCACTAGATCAAGTTTACTATAAAAAGGTGTCATCTCAACCCTATTGTTCCTTTTTCAAACTAAATGCATGGAACATGTTTAGCATTTTTGTGGAGAAGATGAAACAATGTTTTAGACTTTTAGTTCATAGTAACTAAAAATAGGATTGCGAATGAACCGAATCGATCAAAATTAGAAATTATTGAAACTTGAGTGGTTAAATTGCATACTTATTCTCTGTTTGTCATCTTAATACATGTATTTGTTTTCATTTGTTAATATTATATTTACAAACATACACATTTCTATTAATCCCATTTTGATATTAAAACATATACTTTAATAAAAACAACGTCCCATCTAATAAAAAATATTGAAAAAAAAAAAATCTTAAGACATGAGAGAAAAGAGTTTAATGTCCTTTAATTATAATTTTAAATATATCATAAAGACAAAAGGGCAAATTGGGAAATATATATACAGAGAGAAATGATCTACCTAGCACTGCTGCAAGCACCAATGACATGACACATCAATCTTTGTTGAATAAAAAAATTAATTCAAATCTAGAGACTCACCATAAACTTCTCATCTAATGGATTGATGTGCCATATCATCGTCACTTAGCATAAGCTAATCTCGATGCTTAATAAATCATTTCTATATATATTTGCTTGATAGGAATTGTTATGAATAAAAAAACTCGGGAGGTTTGTAACTTCTGGTAAGGGATGAGTTGTCTTTGAAATAGCTAGTTACTTCATGGGGAGTTTCTATAATTTGCTCTTTATACTTTGAGTAGGCAATTTATCCCCAGTTGTATGGCCTGTATTTGTTTTGGAATACATAAAAATGAAGAATTAAGTTGTTCTTTTTCTCTCTCTCTTTTTTTTTTTTTTTAACTTTGAATTTTTTTACAAGCACACCTATTCCAATGTGTCAATCCACCTTGATGTATTGCTTTCACTGCTTTATTGGAAGTTACTCCAAATATTGCTTGATGTAAACAGAAACAGGATTTGTTTAACTTTTATGGAATCTTTTCATGGCTTAATTGA